CCATCCCCACATGATGGACACGTTATTTTTTAGCAAACCAACTAACAAGTGGGAACAATAAACACAACTATGAATAAACGGATAAACACAATTTGACAAGAACCCAAAGGTAGTCATACAGACCTCCAATCCTCTTATTGCACCATAAACAGTGTTTGCCTGCAATAAAGTGAAAATCAACATCACCGAGACTTAACCACATAAAATGGAACTGAGTACGCACCAAATCATCCTTGACTACGCTATAAAAGCTAAAAAAGCGTCTCAAATTCTCAACAAAAACCTCGATAGTCGCCTCCCCTAAAATCGCCTTCTGATCATTCTTCGCGACCAACAGTGTATAACTCTCATCGACTCCCAATTGCAGCTACACGAAAAATCCAATTTCCAATCAAAAGAAAAAAAAAGGAGAATCACATTCAAAATAACTTTTTTTCTCCACTAACACCCAACTGACCTCTTCACTGCCCGAGTGAACTACAATCTTCAATTTTGTAATATCATAAGCCGATCCCCTTCTACCCTTGAGATTCTTAAATGCGGAGAGCCAATCCGTATGCTTGAATATAATCCTAACATACCTCTCAAATGCAGCTCTGACAATGGGAGAACCACCTCCGTTACCGGCGACGGAGAGAGTGAGGGCGGGGTCAACGGAGAGTGTATTGTTTCCGGAACTGAACTCCGCTGGCAGCGGCCATATGTAGGCCAGAGAATCGTCGAGGAGGTCAGATGAAGATGAAATGAACCATGAAGAGCGCAAAACTGCGAGTGCGATCAAAAGGATTTTGATGACTGCGAGTGACCTTGAGGAAGATGGCAACATTGATACGGGGTTTTGATCTCTTAGGTGGATAAACAGATAGAAGAAATATATTAAGCGGTATGAAGGAGCGGGAGAACTGAAAATGATGAGGGGAATTTGAAGGAACAAATCACCGAAAATCGACAAGAACAAGATATGCCTTTAAATGAAGACGTAATCCATTCAGAGATCAGTGAAAAATTATTGAGCAGTCATTTCCCGGTACAATCCAAGTCCCGACATGAGCTTAAACAGTTTGAACATTGGTTCCGGCCTTTACAGTATTTCATTCTGACTCGATCCTGTTAGCAATGGGCAAATATAACCACGTTGAAATATTATTCTGAAACACGAACAATTATCGTCATCGACAAGTCACAGAAAATCATTAGTTATAAGTGCAATTATTAAGAGAAGAACAAAAATATTATTCCAAAATC